CTTGAGGGAGGAAGGAAGGGAGGAGGGAGGGTAGAGATGGGAGCATGGCAGGAGCTGCGGAGGGAGGGGAAGGAGGTTTTGAAAGGAGGTAGCAGGGGGGAGGTACACTCCCCAACTCCGACGACCCGCGGACCCCCACCTCCTCAGAGGCCATCAAGCAGCACCGGTGAGTACTTTCAACATGTTCTTCATCCCTCGACTCGATCGGTCCCCGTACCCCCGTACCCCCGTACCCCCTTTTCCTCATGATAGTGCCCGGGTAAAAGGGGGGTGCGGAGGGTCGTCAACGGTCCCTCTCCGGAAGTAACTTATTATCTTTCTCTTGTTCCCCGATCCGTGGACCCCCACCCCCTCGAACCCATGAACAAGGACCGGTGAGTACTTCGGCTCAGGAGCGCCATGCGACTTTTATCCCCTGGTGGATTATAAGAAGTACACTTCTTTTTTTCGAGATCTTCCTGCCGCACCCCCTTTGATCCACCTTGTAGAGGGGGTGGAGGTACCGGGACAAGGCCGGGGCAACAAGACGACTGCCTGGCTCCCTCCTCGTCTTCTCCCTCGTCCCCGTCGCTTGTGCCTTGCTCGTGCTCGACTCAAGACACGCCGTGGACCACCAACACGCGAGCTGAGAACGACTCGATCATCGTACGGCCATAAGCCATGGCTACAGGCCGTAGGTAGATACAAGCGTGCAGAATAAGGCTCAGGCAGCACAAAGTACTTGGTTGTAGTCCAGCTTTCATCGCCGAAGCTCTTTTATGTATGACATGAATGTCAGTCAGGTATGCCAAGCGCGATCAGCGACGGCCCTACCTTCTCCCATGCCAGGAGGGAGTGAGAAGCGAGCAGATTTTCCTCTTGTCTATCGATGAGCACAGCCCCAGTCGTCACTCACATGCCCAGTAGAAGGTAATCCATCGCCACTTTCTCTCTCTCTCTTTGCCTCCCTCGTCCTGATCTCCTCCTCTGCGGCCGATGGCTTCATCATCACTCCTGTCTCATGACTGACGGCACAACGACTCCAAGTCCAGGGCTGCGAGGCCCTCGGGGGGTCCCGGGCAGCGTCGTGGGGGACTCAATAGCATCAAGCAGGAGCCCGTCAAGCGCTTGTCCTGATGACTCATGATACGGCACACCGTGCCCCGCGCGTGTAGTGAGTAGTTTAGTCAGCGTCCTAGCCGACGGCGGTAGCCTTTCGTGCTCGTGTTGTGCTCGTGCTCTATAATCGACGCAGCAGCGATCGCTCTGGTAACCTCTCTCTCTGATCTCAAGGACGTGTGTACAGCACCACCCCTCCCCCCCTCCCCTCCATGCCCATCCCCGTATCTGCCCTTTCCCTGTATACGCCAGGACCAGATCCTGAGCAGCATCACAGTGTCTCCTCCTGCCTCTCAGCCAGGGAGCTTGAGAGCTGTGCTGGTCGGCGGGGGCTCCTCCTTGAGACGCTCCTCCTTGGCGATGTTGTCGAGGATCTCGTTGCGGCTCCTGACCACGAGCCCTCGAGCCGTCGCCATGACCCCCCTCGCGTACTCCGGCCTCAGCACCTTGCAGATCGCTGGCCGGCTCTTCCCGTACATCCTTGACAGGTCCTGCTGTCGTATCGCCCGTCGGTGCTTGGTCGTGGTCGGGGCGGAGTAGTAGAGGCAGACGATGTCGAGCTTCTCCTGCGCGGTCAGCCGGCTCCTGCCCCTGCACGCCGAGCTGTGCTTGCTCCGCGCCGCCGCGTCCCAGCGGCCGGTCTCCGACCCCCAGCTCGCGTCTACGGGAGCCGCGAGGGAGTCGAGGGAGGGGTCGTCGGGCCAGAACAGACAGTCGGGGGCATCGACGGGCCAGGAAGCGTCCTCAGGGAGGAGGGGGAGGTGAAGCACACTGCAAGGCGACAGGCAGCGGTCATCACTGGTAGAAGCGGAGGGGTCTGGGACGTCGACGGGGTCGATGGGGAGGAGGAAGAAGGGGTGGAAGGAGGGGTCTTGAGGGAGGAAGGAAGGGAGGAGGGAGGGTAGAGATGGGAGCATGGCAGGAGCTGCGGAGGGAGGGGGAGGAGGTTTTGAAGGAGGTAGCAGGGGGGAGGTACACTCCCCAACTCCGACGACCCGCGGACCCCCACCTCCTCAGAGGCCATCAAGCAGCACCGGTGAGTACTTTCAACATGTTCTTCATCCCTCGACTCGATCGGTCCCCGTACCCCCGTACCCCCGTACCCCCTTCCCCCTCCTTGGTAGAGCCCGGGTAAAAAGGGGGTGGGGGTCTGCCATGGCCCCGGCCGTTATTTTATTTTCCCCTTGTCCCCCGATCCGTGGACCCCCACCTCCTCGAGCCCATCACCAAGGACCGGTGAGTACTTTTGCGACTTTTATCCCCTGGTGGATTATAAGAAGTACACTTCTTGTTTTCGAGATCTTCCTGCCGCACCCCCTTTGATCCACCTTGTAGAGGGGGTGGAGGTACCGGGACAAGGCCGGGGCAACAAGACGACTGCCTGGCTCCCTCCTCGTCTTCTCCCTCGTTCCCGTCGCTTGTGCCTTGCTCGTGCTCGACTCAAGACACGCCGTGGAGCCCTAACAAGCGAGCTGAGAACCAATCTGCTTGCTCTCACTCCCTCCAGGCATGGGAGCAGGTAGGGCCGTCAGAGCCGGCTGAGCAGGAGCGTCCCTTTATTTGTGTTGGAACCTTTCCGTTATATCATACCTACCACATGGCAGAATTTATGCGTTCATTCTGTCTGAGTTTCTGAAAGATGTTTTAAGTGGTGAAAGATGTTTTAAGTGGTGAAAGATGTTTTAAGTTGTGAAAGATGTTTTAAGTTGTGAAAGATGTTTTAAGTTAGTTGTGAAAGATGTTTTAAGTTGTGAAAGATGTTTTAAGTTAGTTGTGTAAGATGTTTTAAGTTAGTTGTGAAAGATGTTTTAAGTGGTGAAAGATGTTTTAAGTTGTGAAAGATGTTTTAAGTTGTGAAAGATGTTTTAAGTTGTGAAAGATAGTTGTGAAAGATGTTTTAAGTTGTGAAAGATGTTTTAAGTTGTGTAAGATGTTTTAAGTTAGTTGTGAAAGATGTTTTAAGTTAGTTGTGAAAGATGTTTTAAGTTAGTTGTGAAAGATGTTTTAAGTTGTGAAAGATGTTTTAAGTTAGTTGTGAAAGATGTTTTAAGTTGTGAAAGATGTTTTAAGTTGCGTCGCCCTCTGAATAACGATGGACTCCTGGACCGCATCACGGGAGAGGTGGGCCCCAGCTGCCGGGAGTTGACGCTCTAGATTCTTCTATGTAGAGCAGACAATACGGACTCTGAGTGATATCCATGGTCCGTACTCCAGGAATACAAGAGAGAGGATCGGGACTTTTCCAGGGTCAGAGATGCGACTCATCCTCCCAGTACTTGTATTGTGCAGCTTCACAGTCTCGTGTGCTGGTAGTTCGACCACTCCCTTGCCTCACTCGTACACGCGCATCCGATATCGATTGACTTGACGGTAGTTCCTGCCGTGTCCCGGGCGAAAAGAGAAGCTTCACCCGATGACTCATGTTATCTCAACCCGGCAGTTACGATCACTATGGAGCGATAAACTGACTCGTAAGGCCTCAATGGCATCATCTAAACACCTCGACCCCTTCCTCCTGACTTCTTCTCCCTCCCCCTCCCCTGCTCCTGCGGTGCCCCTCGCCCACACGACGACGGCCCCTGCCTCTTCTGCTCCTCGACTCAAGCTGACCCCCTCCCTGAGCAAGCGGACGCTGAGGAGGAGCGGCTGTCCTCGCCTTCCCCCGACGACTCTGCGGGGCAGAGCCGTTGCTCGGACCTCCTCCTCGCCTCCCAAACGGCTCGGACCTCCTCCTCGCCTCCCAAGGACCCACAGCCAGGCCTGCACGGGCAAGAGCCGGCTGAGCGCGCAGGAGAGGCTCGACATCGTGTGCATGTTCTACTCGGCGCAAGCGACGACAAGCTGCCGGAGGACGGTGCACCAGTGGGACATCGCCAAGGCGTACGGGAAGAGCCGGGCGGCGATCAGCAAGGTGCTGAAGCCGGAGTACGCGCTAGGGGTGATGAAGACGGCGGAGGGGCTACAAATGAAGGGGCGGACTATGGTGCTGAGAGCCATCAGGGAAGAGTCGAAGAAGAAGAAAATGCAGCGGCAGCATCAGCAGCAGAAACAGAAGGGAGACACTCATGAAAAAGCTCGCCAGAAAAGAACATGAAGATTATCTTTGCCTTGAACGATAGAATCTGGAGTAACAGAATCTGGAGATGTTGACTTGCCTGATCATATCACTTGCCAGATCCGATAGATATGTTTGAGCATCTGTATTAAATACTCGATTGTAGCAATCAGTATCAGTCCAATGCAAACAGCTGTTACCACTTCTGCCTGATTGCACCATTGAACCATATGCATTCATGAAGGTTCCAGTTTCAGGCAAAGTTATTGAGCAATTTTTTTCCGCATCGGCGGATGTTACTCGATAAACGTCTCAGTTTGGCTCAGATGGAGGGACTTGTGTTGATGTCAAATCTCGAACATCTGTTGCGATGGACTCTCAGGCAAGGTGCATCACACAATCGCCGAGTGTGAAAAGGCAGCGTTGGATGGTATCTCGGCCTCGCAAGACGTCTCAGGTGATCCGACCTGTAAACGCACGCTGCCCAGGATCTCTTTCGTCAGGTCAAGGCCTCCCTGTCCTTGGCTGCTATCATCGCGGTTTCGTTCCGGGTGATCACATGGGGAACACAGCAGTATCGGCAGGATGAGGGTAAACCCTAGGTCAGACAGAGTGGAAAAGACGTGATTTCGCACGAAGTTTACTCGTCCAGTGTATAACATTATAAAGCCTACTTTTTCTTTTCCTTTGCTCGGCTCTACCCCCCTCCTCCGCATATCGTGACAGTGGGGTGGAGGATAAGATATCTGACAGACAGAGAGGACCAGCAAGCCTACGAAAGCAAACATTCCACACACGCTCTTGTGATTTTACTGGTCATTGCTCCTGGGGGTGGAGAGGGATGGGGTTGTGTGTCGGGGTGGGGTGGGGTGGGGTGGGGTGGGGTGGGGTGGGTTGGGGGGAGGTAGGGTGTATACTTTCGGTAGTCAGGATCGCGGGTGAAAAGACTCGATCTCGAATGTTCAGGAGAGGGTCACCCAGGAAGGTGGGGTAGGGGGTGGAGTGACCAGAAAGCCCTCCATGGCACCTCCCGCATACGCCCCTTCCTCCTACGATGACTCCTTGTATCTCCTCTCCTCCTTTCCCCTCCCTCCTGACTTCTTCTCCCTCCCCATCGAACCTTGCTGCTGCGGTGTCGAGCCTCGATGCCCGCAGACAGACCCACAGCCAGGCCTGCACGGGCAAGAGCCGGCTGAGCGTGCAGGAGAAGCTCGACATCGTGTGCATGTTCTACTCGGCGCCAGCGACGACGAGCTGCCGGAGGACGGTGCACCAGTGGGACATCGCCAAGGCGTACGGGAAGAGCCGGGCGGCGATCAGCAAGGTGCTGAAGCCCGAGGATCGCGAGGAGGGTGATGATGACGAAGGAGGGGGTGGAAGTGCCAGAGCGGGATCTTGTGCTGCCTGGAGGATCAGAAAGGAGGGAGCAAGGAGAGAGACATGAGAGCTGCTGCATTCTTAGTCGCAGTAAGTACATAGAGAGACGATGTCTTGATATCTCAGAACGTACAAGATAAAAATAGAAGTGATAAGTCGTGCGTACCAGAAGACCTTCACCCCTGGATGCGCCTTATCACGCAGCAGGCTTGTAGCTCCACTGATATCTGTGATGAATTCAGCATCTCAGAGGAATGATTAGACAGATCTTTCAGCTCTTCCTGCTCTTCCTGCTCTTCCTGCTCTTCCTGCTCTTCCTGCTCTTCCTGCTCTTCCTGCTCTTCCAGATCTTCCAGATCTTCCTGCTCTTCCAGATCTTCCTGATCTTCCTGATCTTCCTGCTCTTCCTGCTCTTGACCTCCTCTTCTCCTTCCAGATTTTGGTAAGTCAGTATTGGTGACAAGGTCTCCAAACAAACTTCTTCAAATCTTTCCATGTCATTGGGAGAATCAGTTCGCCGTTCTCATCGACAGCCCTGGGATTCACTTTGAGTAACAGACGCACGATCCTATTGGTCGTCGTTGTCGCTCCTGCAACATGGCGTCATTGTTTACTCTCAAATGTCACCATGAGTCAGCATTATAGCGTGGTGCAACCTTATTAGAGTGCGCTTTGCACAACTATTTTGACGATTCTTTTCTTTCAGTGCACCATACATAAATAATTAGCTTTTATTCCTCGAGTTGAACATTCTTCAGGGGTTCTCCGACACTTTTCAGCAACCACTGGTTTAAAGCCGCAACCCCCTTGTAAAGTAACCACCCTACCCCATACTACAACAGCGACGGACATCGCACACTTTGAAAAATTTACCCACCCCCCACCCAGGGGCATACAGCTTACATGTATGTTTAGAGCCAAGAGCACGAAACAACACCTCGTGCCGCGCCTCCGAGACCAAGGAAGAGGAGCAGCATCGGAAGAGGCAGAACAACTTTGTCTTTCTTCGTTCTCTGTCTTCTCAACATGGAGTTCCTCTGCCTGCCTCCCGCTACCGACGAGTCTTCGCACGCGCCTTCCTCTCTTTCCATCCCTTCCCCTCTCGATCTCGACCTCCCCTGCTCCTTCTTCCCCGACCCCTGCTCCTTTTTCCTCCCTCCCCTCAGCTTCCCATGCCCTTGCGGTGCCCCATTCCTCGACGACTCTGGCCCGTGCCTCTTCTGCGGACTGTTCTCCACTCGAACTGACAATTCTCTTCATGCGGACCCTCAAGAAGACATGGTGTGCTTGGCTTCCTCGATAAAACCTCAGGCCAGCCCTTGCTCGGACCTCCTCCTCGCCCCCCAAGACAGACCCCGCTGGGACGCCGACGCCCGCAGGACCCACAGCCAGGCCTGCACGGGCAAGAGCCGGCTGAGCGCGCAGGAGAAGCTCGACATCGTGTGCATGTTCTACTCGGCGCCAGCGTCGACGAGGTGCCGGAGGACGGTGCACCAGTGGGACATCGCCAAGGCGTACGGGAAGAGCCGGGCGGCGATCAGCAAGGTGCTGAAGCCGGAGTACGCGCTAGGGGTGATGAAGACGGCGGAGGGGCTACAAATGAAGGGGCGGACTATGGTGCTGAGAGCCATCAGGGAAGAGTCGAAGAAGAAGAAAATGCAGCGGCAGCATCAGCAGCAGAAACAGAAGGGAGACACTCATGAAAAAGCTCGCCAGAAAAGAACATGAAGATTATCTTTGCCTTGAACGATAGAATCTGGTCTGCAACAATCCATCCTGACCTTGCAAGATTGACTTGCCCGATCATGTCACTTGCCAGATCCGATAGATATGTTTCAGCATTTTTACAGCATTTGTATTAAATACTCGATTGTAGCAATCAGTATCAGTCCAATGCAAACAGCTGTTACCACTTCTGCCTGATTGCACCATTGAACCATATGCATTCATGAAGTTTCCTGTAGTTTGGTGCACAGGGATTGAGCAATTTTTTCCGCATCGGCGGATGTAACTCGATAATCTTCCAAGTTTGGCTCAGATGGAGGGACTCGTGTTGATGTCAAATCTCGAACATCTGTTGCGATGGACTCTCAGGCAAGGTGCATCACACAATCGCCGAGTGTGAAAAGGCCCTCGCAAGACGTCTCAGGTGATCCGACTTGCAAACGCATCCGGTCCAGGATCGCGAGGAGGGTGATGAAGTTTTGATCGTTTATCGACCGATTGAAGTTTCGATTTGAACTTTTACTCAAGTTGATAATTCTTGAAAGTATCCACCCCACCCCCTTTATTGTGATAGAAGTAAATAGATAGGGGTTCTCAGTCAAAGTACTGACCCCTACCCGGGGGTCCTCGGATTGTAGATGCAATCTGGCATAAGAAGGGGTACGGGGCTCCACCCATCCAGCCTCGGCGACAACACAATGAGGTACCGTCCATCCCCACCCCACCGGGCCCACCACACCACACCCCTCCTTCATCAGACTGAAAAACACTCTTGAAGGCAAAGATAAATCACGTGTTCTTTTTTAGTTGGAAACATTCTTTTTAAATCTGATAAAAAAAGGCGGAATCCTGGGGAGGTAGGGTCTTAAGTGATCCGGTCTTATCCGGTGAAAGTATCCACCCCACCCCCTTTATTGTGATAGAAGTAAATAGATAGGGGTTCTCAGTCAAAGTACTGACCCCTACCCGGGGGCCCTCGGATTGTAGATGCAACCTGGCATAAGAAGGGGTACGGGGCTCCACCCATCCAGCCTGGGACAACAACCTCAACTGGCAAAAAAAAACTTGCCGGCAGGGCCGGCACTCCGGCATATCCCGAGTCCGACCCGCCGCGGGCGATGTGAGGGGCCTGGGTGCCTCCTCGACTCTCGGCATGAGGGTTAAAGGCCAACTTGTTGGCGGCCCCCGGGCCTCAGGGCCTCGGGCGCGGGCGGCACTGCGGCATATCCGAGGAGTCCGCCGGAGCGGCCGGGAGCGACACCGGGGCCTGCCAGTCCCCGGGCATGGATCATCACCGTGCCTGTGTGTCATGGGGCCCAGCGTGCGGGCTGCCGGGCCGCGGCCAGCTCCAACTGGCAAGCGGATGTCCGACGGCCTGGAGTGAGACTCGGTGAGCATGATCTGCCCGGTAGTCAGAGCTGCCACACGGCCTGTGACAGTCGACTGGGCGCCCGTTGAAACTTGTAACGCCGGGCCGGGCGGCCAACTTACGGTCCGCGGGCTAGGAAAGACTGAGTACAATGATGATCGGTGACATGCCATGACGGAGAGGGCAGGGCCTCGGAAAGTTTACCCTGAAAGTTTACAAGCAGAAAGGTTGCAGTTTTATCAGGAGGAAACACTACTTGAAGCCCAGCACTTCAGGGTAGATCGTCACTGTGAGGAGAGAATCTTGCTGTAACATTTAACCATGCATCCACGATGAATACCAATAGGATCACAAACTCTAGGATCACAAACTTTGTTCTTCGAGAAGAGCAACAACCTTTGAAAGCACTCAGGTTGAAGAAGAATGAAACGCCGTTTGCAAACTTAGACTTGCTCTTTCCAATCTGGCTTGATGGAGGACACAGGCCCCTCATGATCTCAGTGAAGTAATTCCGGTCCTACAAGCATACAACCGTCAATGCTAGCCAGCAGTCTGATAAGAAATCCTTTCAGCCTCGTCACTCTGTACCTGAAAGATTGCCCTTCTCCTTCTACCATCTTCAAACTGTCCTGCTCGTCGTCGCTCCTCGGAAAGACTGCAAAAACAGCCTTGAAACTGTGTGCTTGCTTCCGCCATATAGGTGATGGCCAAAAGCAGAGTGACTGCTCCTGAGCCTCTGTATCGTGCGTTAGCGTGATGGTTTCTGCGTTCCAGGTCCTGTTGCGATCCTCGTTGAAAAAATGAAGAGCGTTGAAAACTTCAGATGTGAGTCTTTCGCGTCACATTTGTGTGTGCAAGGCAGTATAAAGACGGTAGAAAGACGGTAGAAAGACGGTAGAAAGACGGTAGAAAGACGGTAGAAAGACGGTAGAAAGACGGTAGAAAGACGGTAGAAAGACGGTAGAAAGACGGTAGAAAGACGGTAGAAAGACGGTAGAAAGACGGTAGAAAGACGGTAGAAAGACGGTAGAAAGACGGTAGAAAGACGGTAGAAAGACTCTTGCAGGGCTGTTGAAAGATGATGCGAAGAAAGCAAAGAATAGAGAGTGAGTGTAGGGAGACAGTGAGCAGAGCGTATGAAGAGGAGATCGTACATTCATACAGTAAATACTGTTGGAGTGTTTAGACTGTTGGAGATTCAAGGGAGTCTCTATGGAGATAGAATAGGGATTGCAATAGGAATGTGATGCAGTACACGAAGAAGGCAAGGGTAAGAGTGTGTCATAGTACGCGCACAAGACTAGGATGGGCTTGAGAAGGTCGTTGGCAGCCGGGGAGCGGAGGAGAGGGGCGATGAGCAGGGCGTGGGAGGGAGATGGAGCGGACATACAAAACATGTCCAGGGGTGGTCACACGAGCATGCAAATCCTTAACTCAAGATTCTTCTGAGCGAAGTCAACGACAGGAGGACCTTCTTGTCGTCACGCAGTGGGAGCGATGTTGTATTCTGGACTCATACCGGACGCCCCTTGGACGTAGCGTAGGGAAATAGGATGACGATGCAGATTCCTGCAGTGGTGCTGCTGATCTGATGAGTGTGTGTGCTTAATAAACAGTGATCCTAAGATCATCTGAGCTCAAGGTCTTACGCAAGGTTGTGTATACAACAAAACCGAACCTTGACGAAGCAGTGTGCGATTTTTTCAGGGGTAGGTATTTTGAGTGGTAGGTATCAGCACTGCTGGACTTGACAAGGCAATCGGATATCTCAGAGTACATTATCATCACTTGAAAGAATAAGAGTAAGAAACCCCTCCCCTTCCCAGCCCGCGCCGAGCTGCTTCAGCCTGTCTTTTCCAAGCTCTTGGCCTCAGTCTTGTCGAGTCATTCCTTGCCCTCCCCGGGCTCATAGTGGGTCAAGTGGGAGAGTTCTGCGGTGAGGTTCTCCGCTGACACCAAGTCACTTGTAGCTGGAGACGGGAAGGTGGAGGAGAGGAAGGAGGAAGAGGAACAGAAAGAGCAGAGCTACACGGGGCAGAGAGAGGGAGAGCAGAGAGAGGGAGAGCAGTGAGAGGGAGAGCAGAGAGAGGGAGAGCAGTGAGAAGCACAGAGGAAGTGGAGGAAGAAGGAAAGGAGGATGGGATGCGACGTCCTTCGTCGCATCCCCCCATGGGATGCGACGTCGCAAGGAGGAGGACGAAGGAGGAGAGGTGGGGGGGGGGGAGGAACGAAGAACAAGAGAGGAGGGTTCATTACCGGCAGCCAGCGACGCAGCCTTTCCTTCATGATCTCCAACCTGAAACAAAGTCCGGCTTCATTCAACCAGCCAGTGAGGCATCAACGTCCGGAGGTCAGGGGGCGTACCATACGGATGAAGGAGTGCTGAAGTACGGCAGCTAGGAACAAGAAAACGGAGCACATGGCAAAAACGACGTTGTCGGAGATGCTGCAAGGACGATAAGAGGTGTATTGGAGCGCGCGCGACTACACATAGCAGGAAGAGAGAAAGGATGCAGGGGGAGGGGGAGGGAGGGAAGAGAAGGAGGGAGAAGGGAAGTGGGAGATGGGGAATGGGAGAATAAGGAGAATGTAACGAAGAGAGTGGACGAGGGAGAAGGGAGAACAGAGGGAGAAACAGGAGGAGCGAGAGGCAACAAGAGGAGGTAGGAGATCCTTTGGTGGGTGGGTGAGAAAGTGTGAGCAATGTGAGGGAGGGGAGGAGAGAGGGAGGGGGGAGAGGAGAAGGAAGGGGAAGAGAGAGAGGAGGAGGAAGGGGAGGAGTTCAAACCTGCCAAGGTTGGCGAGGACAGCGACTACGATGACGTTGAGGGGGATGCGAAAGATGTTGTAGATGGTCGCCCGGACCTGATCCAAACGTCAATATCGCCAACCAAGTCTCATCCACTGTCATAGCAAGAGGCCATCCCTTGCTCAGTCCTCTTCCTCCCTCTCCCTCCCCCTCTCCCCCCCCTCGCTGCTGTCCTCCCTGCACTCCTTGACTTCTATACTCCTTCCCCTCTCTTCGTCTTCCAATGTTTCCCTCCCTCCTCCTCCTCCTTCACGCTGCTCCTCTAGGAAACTGACCTCCTCAGGAACATACTTCGACTTGACAATGCCGATACTGGGGAAGTAGAGCCCGCAGCACCACTCTGACCACCCTCTAGTCAAACTCGATTGACACCCAACCGTTGACAGTCGGAACGCACCGAACACGAAGAAGCAGGAGACGGTGGAGTACCCCTCTTGCAGCCCGAGGGCAGGGATCTGTCAAAGTGCGTACGAGTCAAACGGCAGGCGGATTTTGACAAGCGGCGGTAACTACCGCCATCATGATCCCAGAGATTATGTAGAGCTCCCTCAGGTACCTAACAGGTGGTTGCCAGCTGGACAGGTACTTCAAAGAGCTGATGGAGAAATGCGTCAGGGGGGATCAAGATCATGCAGCTGCTGTGCACAGCTTTGAATTCTCGTCCTGCACCAGCACCAGCACCAGCACCAGCACCACCTCCTCCTACTACTCTTACTACTCTCCTTTCCCTTCGCTCCGGCCTTATCCTCCCCCTCTCCCTGCGTCTGTCTCTGCCTCTGCCTCTCTCTCTCTCTCTCTCTATCACTTCATATGATCCTCCCTCCTCCATATCTCATCACCTTGACCCCAACATCATGCAGGCCATGAAGCATCCGAAGACCCGGCCGTGAGGGAGGGGCTTGAAGAACGCTTCTGCAGGTCTGGAGTTAGACCACAGGGGGGAGACAAGGTTGTCTGGTTACCTAACTTTGGCGTCCACATGAAGACAAAGATGTACATGGCTCCTTCGAAGAGGCTCTGTTGAATTCGTCATCGTTGTCGACGACGTTACGATCATTATCATCGTTTTCTTCTTCTGAATCACTATCATCATCTTCTTCTGAATCATCATCATCTCAATCTCCATCATAATCATCATCATTATCTCCATCATCATACTACTGATCCAGCATTTTGCAACCCGCTCATTTCACCTGTATCATCCCCAGAACTGCTATCTTGGGATCTCGGCGCATTCTTTCAAGCGCCACCTTCAACTTATTCCGATCGTCATTCTAGTCAAACGAGTCAAAAATTCCTCACTGCCAGCAACGTTTCTGCTGTGTCATCACCTTGCCAGAGGGAAGGACCATGCCTCCCATGCCAGCATCTCCTTTGTTCTCCTGTTGCAACACTCATCCCCCTCCCCTCCCCTCCCTTCCCTTCCTCTCCTTCTCTGCCCTTCTCCTCCCCTCCCCCTCTTCCCTTCCCTTCCCTTCCCTTCCTTTACCCTTCCCTCCCTTCTGCTCCCCTCTGCTCTCCACTATCTCCCGTTCGCTCTCCTCTCCACCATGTCTGCTCTAATATGCTCTCCTCCCTGCCCCCTCCCTGCCCCTTCCGTGGCTCTGCTCCCTCCTCTCCCTTCTGCTCCTCCCCCTCCCGCTGCTCCTCTCCCTCCTTGCATCTCCTCGTTCCTCTCTGACCTGCCATTTCCAAGCGATTGTGATTGAGGATGCGATGAGGAAGACGATGGCAAGGTCGAAAGGAGCCACCTGCAGAGAAAATTTCACATATAATCGAGTTGGGTTTGAAGATTGGTCTTGAGATTTGAAATGTTGCTTACCAGGCTGTCGAATGTATCACGGACGAAGCCCCCGAGCCACCCAGACGCGATGGCCGTGATAGCATTGCCAACCGTCGCGATGGAAAAAGTCTGCGACAATTTTCAAATCTCCTCCTCCTCCTCCTCCTCCTCCTCCACTCTCATTTTCACAAATGCCTACCTCTTACCC